GTTGCCCTGAAACCAAACTGTAAACCAGAGATGCTTTACAGGCAGAACTAATTTATTAGTGTTGATGCAATCTTAGAGACCAACTTTTCTATGTTTGGACAGTTCTATCTGTTTCGACAGTTCCTATCTGTTTGTACAGTTCAGTGTAATGCAGAAATCTCATTATTACGTAACAATTCATATTCACTGTATATGGAGACTGGATGTTTAGATTAAATATATTAAGCCCCTGAAGAGGTAGTACAGCACCTGAAATCTTTTGTGAATGTAGCTTTTAATACCTTAGATAACTAGAGGATTAAGTAACATCGGTGCATGGGTGTGTTTATGTGTGTGAAAGAAAGAGAGGGAGAAAAAGAGAGAAAAAAAAACACCAAATACACAAGAATGATTACACTCACTCTGAATAAGTGATAGAGTAAAGCACTTGTGCTGACTGCCAGATGGCTAATTCACTCTTTGGATTTATCCCAAAATTATTTAAGTTGGAAAGTTCCACCATTTTTCAATTGAACTTGTGCATTTAAGTCATTGAAGTAGTCTTAGAAAATCCCATTGGAAGTACTCAGTGTTTTTCAAAAACTTTCACTTGCTTGCATCTGAGAAGGATCTGTTTCAAATGCAGATTATTTAAAAAAATACAGCAGAACAAATCATTCTCTTTTTAAAATCCATTTACAAAAAAAGCATAAATGTTCAAACTCAGTATCACACCCTTGCAATGATATTCAGTATTGGGCACTGATTCAGCAAATTAAGCATGCCAAGTTAAGATGCCTTAGAAGTAATAAGATCTGCTTTTAAAAGTACTGAAAAATCAACCCCCGAAGAACAGGTGATTTCATGCTTGGGATAAAGTTATTGGGAACTCAGTGTCAGGCTTGGATTTGGAGCTGTGCTATAAGGTAGTCTATATAAGTTAAACCAACTGTAGAGAGTGAACAGGAATTCTTACTGTTTGCTGAACTTTCTAGGTACTACTGTGTTTAGAATGGCTAAAAAAAGACTGCACTTACTTGTATAATTAATTTTGGACATATTTGCTAAGACTTAGAATAAAATTTTTGTGTGAACATTTAAGAAATAGTGTAAGTACACATTCTTCCATTTGTTCACCTAAAAGACCTACTTATTTCTAGAGTATGCAATATGAATGAGATCTCAATGATAGTTACCATCAATTACCATTAATCCACAACAGAGCTAACACAAAGGATAAGTTGTTTGGAATGTGAACATTTTTATTTACCTGTAGTGTTTTCCTTGTGCAAGATGTGATGTAAACAACAAAATTTTAAAACAATTTGATATATGAGTGAATTAATATACATTAGATTTGTTGAAATTATTTTTAAAATCTTTTAGATGTTACCTGCCTGTGTGCTCTATAACTATGAGCAATCCGTCAAGAATGAAATCATCACTTGGAGAAGCCTGCAACTATGTAGCTTTGTGGGATCCAAGGGAAGGTCAAGATTAATCTATGCAATAAAATTCAAGCAAAAGCAGGAGACAATTTGGCCTTGATTTTGATTTATTAAAGTGTTCTTACGTTGATCTGCTGTGCAAAGAACCAAATCATTTAAAAATCAAGGCTGTCCCATGGAACTTAACTGAAGCCACCAAAGATTCTTTTTGACTCACTGAAAAGAAACTGAGACCTTTCATAGAAAGGCTCAACCCATTTCTCCTGTGGATTCTCAGAGTGGATAGATAAAGCAGGGCACTGACTATGCTTACAGCCTAAGTTAGTTGTCTGAAGTGAATCTGGACTTGGAAATTCTATGGAGGATTTGATATTCCTTCTTCACAAATAGCTGTAAAAATTCCATTTGGATTCTGGATCCTCCTATGAATTCTGAGGTCTTTTTTGCTTGTAGGGAAGAACTATCCCTTAGGGACAATTATTGTTATCTTAAAGGAGATAAAACACATATTTATATGTGTAATAGCCAAAATTGTCACTGATGTTTACGCACAGCATTACATCAACTGATATATGATATCAATGAAAAAGCAAGGGAGAAAAAAAGAGTTGAGAAATGTTTTACCCCAACTATTTTCCAAATTTTAGGTACAGAAAGGATCTCTCCCTTTTTCAAACCGTAACAGTTTGAGAAGATAATTCCCTTAACACACAGTGTTTTCATGAAGAACTATTTAGAAGATCATGGCATTGCATTTCCATTTACTCCGCATCATTTTACAGGTCTGACAGGAAGAAAAGAAATCTTAATAGCTGCTGAAATAAAGTATAAGGCATTTTGTTTAAAGCCTAAAAGTGGAGGTTTCCATCTTAGTCATAATTTCTGTCAGTGTTTGTGAGCTTCTCTATTTCAAATTTCACCTTGTTTCTATTTTTGGATGTAATTGTTCTTTCCCTTTGAAGACTTAACAGCCTTCTTTTCACTGAAAATAAAATGCTAAAAATTGGCTGACCTTTCTAGGAGGTGTTAGGTAATGCTATTATAGATTTTGCCAGGCATTTACAGAAATTTGTTTCCCATTGTGGATATTCTTTAAAAAGGTGTATATCTTATCTTGGTCACAATTTAAGAGATTCTGTTGGTGAGACTCTGTGGCAAAAAGTATTTCAGCTTTTCTCCATCATTTTGTTCCGTACAGTTTTTTGTATTTCTCTGAATATCATTTCTATGTACAATATCCTGCTCTTCCCTCATCTACCAAGCGGTACATTTCATTGTAGCATGTTATCTGTCTGGTGTAAGCTTTCAGGCTAAGGAAAACCTTGAATGTGAACTTGAATATTTTGTACATGAGTATATCAGCCATTCAGATACCACGTCTAAGCACATTTCTCTCAAGATGTATGCTAAAATAAAGTCTCTAGAGTATGGTCCCAGGTGATAGATTCCTCCATGGAACCTTTCTAGCCTCAGAGTTTGTTGCGGGTCTGTTTTCAATCATGTCTCCATCATCTTAAACATGGTAATTAAATACTGCCCTTCTCAGCTTGCCCATTTTGACTCTGGCACTCCAGTCTTTCCATACACCTTTTAGTCAGTCTAGGTGATGTAGATGCCAGATTCGTTTCAGTGACCAAGCCTTGTAAGCAGTAGGTACTAATGTATGTTGACCATAATCACTAACTTGGCACACACATAAAAATCTACCCCTTGAATCTTTGTAATCTTTAATGGAGAAACTCCATTAACAACTCTTTGGTTTACAGGTGCAATCTGGAATTTAGAGGCAGATGCAATTCTACGTATTCCTAAATAGAAGGAGTATTTACGTGTCTCTTCAGAGAAAAAAAAAAAAAAAGATTTAAAATGTCGTATGAACATATTTCCTAATGTTCTACGTGTCCCTCGTGCTAATTCATATAGACTACCTATGAAGCCTGTTTCCTATTGTGCTGCAGACATGAGGAAGAACCAAAACATCAGAAAGCCTGTAGTTGAAGAGGAAGGATGCTGATGTACCCTTCATAATTTGAGTCCGGGAAGCTTTTACCACTGATTTCATTAGAGCCAGGACAAATGTGTTTCATATCTGGAGACTGAAAATAATATATCTGAAATGCCTTGTAACACATGGTTGTATGTTACTGCTGCTGATTGGACCCTTCTGCTTTTGGTAAAATGGTCTGCTCTTTATGCTCTGCATAATGAATAATCTTTCTCAAGTCAGTAATATGTTCAGCTTTTTCTAGTATCCAACCTGAACCTCCGCTGGTCCCCTGGTGCAAATTAAGACCATTACCTCTTGTCCTCTAGACTAAATCACTAATTATCTCAGAGAAGAGGCTTAACTCCACCTCACCACGTCTTTCTTTCAGTTAGATGTAGCAATAAGGTCCTGCCTGAGCCTCCTCCAGATTGAACAACCCCAGTTCCCTCAGTTGCTCCTCATAAGACATGTCCTCCAGACTCTTCACCATCTTCTTTGTCCTTCTTCACACATGCTTCAATGCCTTTCTCATAGTGAGGCACCCAAAACTGAGCACAGTATTTAAGTTATGGCCTCACCAGTGCTGAGTACCAGGGGAATATTTAAGATTGGACAAAAGTAGAGCTTTTTCACTATGATTGAACCCGCAATCTAACTAATACACAATTACATATGTGGCTTCAAAGAAATGTGGTATATTATCATCTTGTCTGAATTTCGGATAATTGCATGATTTTAGCTGAAATGTTTAAAGAAATTTTGTGTGATTTTAAATTTTTTAAGTGCTATCCTATCTGTAGTAAAATTCAATAAATATGAAAGTAAGCTGGCTCATCAATCTGCAACTGAAAATGTCATTTTTTCCCGTTCTCAACACTTATGTGTGTAGAAGTTTTACTGCACATTCAAAGAGGGTATTTACATTAATGTATTTATATTACTAATTGTATAGTACTTATATTAATGACATATTTTTAACTAAATGTGGCACTCAGTATAAACAATGATTTACTATACTTGAGAAATGAATGAAATACTACATTCTTGTACTGCAATATGATTGGTATATATTTTTTCTAAATGTCTACTTCAACAAGGAAGTATATACCAGGAATGTTTATATAAGCAATCCCAAAAGAGATATTAAAATTAAGCAAAATTTACTTAGTTTAGTAACAAACACAAGACTCATTAAAAGAAAAAAATATCTCATTAGCTTTTTGAAAAAATGTTATAGCATATATGATTAACTTTTCAGCTATAGAAATAGTGATTATTCAGTATTAGAAATTATAGAAGATGTTTAAATGAGTTGGTTTTTTTCATATACAATCAACAATAATAATGAACAGTCTGTTCAGCTACTAAAGAAACAAGCTGAATGTAAAAGATTAAAATATTTTATTGAAGTTTTTATTAATTTCTTATCCAGAGAAGCACAGGTACAGACATAATAACACAAACAGTGTAGATGGAACATTCAAACCTACAAGAAATGTGTAACTATTTCAATCCAAATATGCACAATGCACAACTGTTTGAGATTAAAAAGCAAAGAAACAAACACTTCACACTAAAGGTGGCAATTTAACATGAAGATATTGCATTTATTTGCTGATATGGTATTGGGTATCAAAGCACACTTGGCAAAGCTTTTACAGATGATGATAAAACCATGGCATTTCTTGCTTCACCCCTTGTTTTTTCATCTAAATGTTTAGCTCATTATTGCTCTCTCTGGAGAGGTTTGCGTTCTGGAGGTAGCATTGGTTGTAACTTCTGCCAGCGTTTTGGAGGCCAGAGGATATGAGTAGCACGAGCATGTAGAAGTCCAAGAGAAACCTGTACTCAAAATGAAATGTGTATAATCAATAAAAACTGAAAATTAAATGAATTCTGAGAGGTATAAGGCACATGTTGACATGTTAGAATAATCAGAGAATACAAAGCAGAATACTTTGCATGCACAAAGAATATCTATTGCATGTAACGAAAGAAAAAACATACTGCTTCAAAAACAAGTTTTTGTTTGTTTTGGTAAAACATTTCGTGGAACCCAGAAAAACAGAATTGCATGGTTTATAACAAACATGAACTAGGAGTGTTTTTTCAGGTTCAAGAAGCAGCAGCTGGTCAGAACAGATGAGGTATTTTATAATCGTCTGAAAGCTAGTCGTGATTATCTATGCTGGGCATGGCAGAAAAAGGTTAAATTATCTATTCTGAATAATTTAAACAGAACCTGTGTCTCAGGTTTGAGCTACACTAATACACTATGATGTTGGCTTTTCTCAAGCATTCTGTACTGCCTTTCCAAATTCCATTTTGTCTCCAACCAAAAACGGAAACTACACTGAACTATTTCCCTAGGATAAAAATGTACTTCTGGCAGAATAATTGGAAATGCATTTAAAAATCAAAAGTTTTTAGGATTACCTTACACTTCATTCATATGTTTTGTAAATATTTTGCATCTTATTATCTATTAATGTGTTATTTCAATAGTTTTGCTTTACAAACCACAGAATCATAGAATGGTTGAGACTAGAGGGGACCTCTGGAGATTATCTAGTCCAAACACACCATTCAAGCATGCTTCCCTAAGGCACATTAGCCAGAACTGTGTCCAGGAAGCTTTTGAATATCTCCAGGAAGGAGACTCCACAACCTATCTGAGCAATCTGTGCCAGTACTCCATTACCCTCACAGTAAACAATTTTTTCCTCATGCTCACATGGCATTGCCTATGTTTCAGCTTGTGCCTGCTGGCTCTCATCCTATCAGTGGGCACCACTGTAAAAAGTCTGGCCCCATTCTCTTGAGACTGCCCCCTCAGATTTCACTCAAGAATTTAACTGAACTTCTGATTTGAACCTGTACATTCCTGCTTAAATTTTTATGTAAACCCACTACTTCAATCCAATTCTATTTCTCATCACAAAAAATAAAGTGATTTCAGTAAGCAGGTAATTCAGCATTTTATGCAAATGGACACCAAATAGCCCCCTAGGAATATCTTCAGCTAATTTTCTTGATTTCATTTCATAGGATTAATGTATATTCACCATACTCTCTCCACTACATAATTAAATCAGTGAAGCTGAAGTAGTCTATATCTAATTCCATATTCTGTAGTTTGATGAAGCAAGTGAATTACTTGAATATAATTTGGCTACCTAATAACCCACAATATCTAAAAGAATCTAGAGTAGATCACTGAAACTGCAGTCTAACATTACATTTTCCTTGTTTGATCCCTTGCAAGGATCATTTATTTACCTGATCCATTGCCTCCTTTTCCTGCACTTAAGCAAAGGACAGTATATAACCAGACTGATAAGTAATAACTCCTTTTTGACAGAATTTAGCTACTTTTATTTTTATTTATTTATTTATTTATTTTAAGTCTTGACATACTTCTGTGTAGGTTGTTTGATATTTACAGAATTCACAATATCCTTTATCTCAATTATTCCATAAAGTGGCCTGCAAATGTAAAATTACCACAGGGATTAGTTCTCTGAATATACAGCATGATGGCACACACATTACAGGCTGGTTCCAAAATATAAAACTACTGCAAACATCACTACTGCATATAAAATGTGACAGCATTAGTACAGAGATAAATGTTAAAATACTCTTCTCCAACACAAATAACATCTCATTTTCAAAGCTCTGTGTTTTCCTCAGTGCACTGCTTGTTACTGATGTCAGTAGGAGGTCTGCACACAGACTGAGAATATAATAAATGAATCAAAACTTGTTTGAAGCTCAGACAGGGAATAATTTTGCCCAGAGGAATACTTCTACTGACCACCATCTGACTTGAAACTAATAAAGAAATATCCTTCCCATAAACCTGATTTAGAGGACAACATGACTAGTGCTAAAAAGGAAAAATGGATATTGTAGGGTTATGGAAGTCTTTACTAAATAACAAATGACACTGATGCTATGGGACTTCTTTTAAAATAACTCAAAAGCTCACTTTTAAAGCACCTTGCTGTCTGACTTCTGCAAAGAACCTTAATAACTTTTGTCCATTGCCTATTATTATTCTGTAGTTACTACTGCAGTCACGAATTTCACTGAGGAAGAACACAATTGCTTGTAGAGAATAACCTGCCCCTTTTAATGGATTTACCCTCATCAAGGTTAGAAGTGGACAGAGGGTGAACAGAGAGGCTACACTTTCTGTCAGAACAGTGAAATATTGAAATAATCTGTTAAAGGAGAGATTTGCCAATTCCCTTACAGACATTATTTACTCACTTAGGAAAATAACTTTACCCCCTTGAAATACTATTTTAACTGTAAGAAAAATTAACCCTTTGCATGCAAAAACTCTGAGGACCAGGAGGTATCAGCAATCGAAATTGTAGAATCTTATTCTATATTAAAGTCTAATTTTTAATCTTGCTGTTGCAACAACAAATGTTATTCTGAACTGAATCCATATTATTCTCCCTAATTTGAGCAGTTTTGGCATTAATTTTATATTTTTAATATTTAAATATGTAACTGACCAACTGATAAACTTTTTTGTGCTTTTTAACAGAAGTTATGTCTGCAAAACATGTTTTGAAAGAATAATATCATTCTGGCACTGTTACTGAGACTAAAGCTAAATTTCCTTGAAATTTGCTTGTTGTTACTATGTTAGTTGTGTGGAAACTGATTAATTTTGGCACCACATTAGGAAAAGATAAGTCTAGCCTTGATAGTGCTATCAGCAGTGGAATTTACGTCTTTCTTCCTCATTGTGTTCTAACAGGTGGATAAATGCACCTCTGTTGGTAAAGAGGCTTATATTACCTTTCTTGATTCCAAAATATGGCCTTTTAAAATGCTCACTGATTTACAGACTGTGCTCTCTGCTATTTGAAATCTTCACTACCTCTTTGATTCCTTTTCTAATCTCCAGTCATAGTGCGAAAAGCAGCATTGATACAGTGTCAGAATTTTGAGGAGAAGAAGCACGCAGAGGTGCACACCAAATTCTTTATTGGAATCCAGGTCCTCAGTCCACATTTCAAGAAAAGAAAAAGTCCAGATAAGAATGTAACAAGGAAGGGTATTTGCAGCTTTCTCAGGGTATGTGAAACCTACTTAAGCTACTAAATACAGCTACTGCTGACCATCATTGGATTTGAAACTAATAAAAAAATATCCCACCCATAAACCCAAGTTAGAGGACAGTATGGCTAGTGTAAGAAAGGAAAAATAGGTATCGTAGCTACTCCTGAACTTAGCTGCAAAATCACTTTAGGTTAGGTGGATTCTTCACAGGTTTCTCTTTGCTTTTTTCTTCTCCTTGAACCTCTGGTGATTAGGATCTAGCTAAAACAGGCAAGATTTCAAATTCTGTAACAACAGTGAAACAATGAAGTACAGCAGCACAGAATGTAGCCTGGGAAGGAGCAGTGCAGAAACAGAAGAAAAGGTCTTTACAACAATTTTTAATCTAGACTTCCTAAGCAGTCAACTTACTAATTAGAAGTAACAGTAAGACAAAGAGATATAAAGCAATACAAGACTGTTTGTTTTGCTGATTTTGTAACTCTGTAAGCCTGTATTGCCATTTCAAGTAACATGCTACCAATCTCCTACCAGCTCTGTATGAATTTTCTTCCCAGGCTTTGAATTTTGCCTGCCTGCCTGCAGTTTTGATTTAGCTTGTTTAGCTGCAATTTTTTTTCCATAATGATTAGATAGCTATTATCTAATTTGTTATAATTTTGTTTATATTGATTATATTTCCTTGTATCTGCAAAAACTTTTGGCATAATTACAGGCTTTTGTATATAGCAAAAAGTTACTATTTTATGTAGAATTAAATTTTTATGACCTTATGTGGATTTCAGGACTATAGGCATGGTATCATAATAAATGGGTACAGAATTACACTGCAGACTGCAGGCTTAAAAACAACTCAGCAGTGGTCACTTAAATGTCTGACTGAGGAGCTGGTTGGAAAAGATATAAGACTATCAAAACGACCAAAGAAGAGTTCAAAAGAACAAGGAATAAATAACATAAATAAAACTTAGAATGTATAATAAATACAGATAAAAAGGAGTTGCCAATCAATGCAAAAAAAAAAGAAAGGCAAAAAACATGTCAGGATTTGTATTAAGAAAAGGAGAGATAAGAAACCATCAACATCACAGTTTTCATGGTGAAGGATTTAGGATGGCTATAAAACTTGCTAAAACACTCTTTTCCTGTCTTTCTGCGGAGGACAAGTGTTCAAAAAAGTATAAAATAATGTAAGAAATTTTGGAATAGCTTTACCTGACACAGATAAATATGCAAAGAGAACAGGAAGATTATAAAGCACAGCAGCAATCTTTAACACTGGATCAACATAACAATCCTTACTGAAAGTGTATTTGAATAAATGTGTGAATACAAATACACTTCTTCTGAGGAAGGAAATACTATTTGAAAGTGCTGTCTTAAAATGGTTTCATACAGGTTAAGATTAGAAACATTTCAATAACTAATTCATATGTTGTCTCCTGTTTCCATTAATACCTAAATGTTTAAATTGTGCATTCTTTAAATTCCACTGAGGAGAACAATGATGGATATAAACAGAATTAAATTATAACCACAGCAGACTATAATCTGTATACTAGAGAGATTTTATTAACTGCTACAAAATCACGATTTTTGAGGCATACATCAGCCTCTGATTTTGAAGAGTCACTTTTGCTATACTCTCATAAGTTGTTCTAGCAGTATTCCACAGGCCTTCCAAAAACCATGGGCATTGATAAATATGCAAAGAAAATATCACTGATCACAGTTAGTGTTTCAAATTATGCTTTCTATTC